AGTCACCTTTATTTATATAGCGCTTTTAACAATACAGATTGTGACAAAGCAACTGAACAGCATTAATTAGGAAAATACGTGGATGGCCTCTCTAATGGAACATAAAGCTCTTTTGGCTGAAGAACTTTTATTTCTCTTTTGTTTTGTATTGTATTTCATCTTATTTATTTTCACAGTCTGCTATTATATAGAATTATTAATTAACTGCCAAAGCAGCATTTTAATCCATAGGTATGATTATCTTTTATTTATTTTTATTATTATGTTTTGTGCCAATAACATCATTGGAAATTTCAAGTATTCTAAGTAAGCAAATGTAATATCTGGATAAATTTATCCATTAGCATTCTCATTCACCTTAATGGCACATGCTTGGCAGGCGCAAGAAAACCTGGAAGTAGGCTACACAGTTTGAAATATGTCATCTTTGCTCATCAGCCATGATAACAAGCAAAACCTTGACCCCTTTATTCTTACAACAGTATGTGTCCATTTAATGTTAGAATCTAAAGTCTGAAATCTCTAATTTGGCATTTTTAGGTTAGGTCAGTATCATTAGTGACACATTTTTAGTAACTCTGCATGTTGCATCTTTACGCCATGTCAAGACCAAACCCGGAAAACAGGTCTCATCACTTCCGTTTGTCAGAGAACGTGTTAACAGCCGTATTAAATAATGGCGATATCTATAGACTTTTAAGGTAATCAGTTAAACTAGCTAACTGTTTTTATTGTTGACGTTTATTCAATTTTTTTATCTAAATGTTAGTGAAAAGAATACAAAAAACTTCATATGTGATGGACATTGGTTATGATACTTTTTGTATCTACTTTGGAGACATCTTGAGAAAAACAGCGAAGCATATGCATAACGCTTGAACCGGAAGCGGCGAGACCTGTTTAACAGAATGCGGAAGTCTGTTGCACATATAAAATTGTGATTCATTTAGGAACAAAACAAATGACTCTTCTTAGTGAATGAGTCATTGAATCATTCAGTCAACTGATTAAATTTAATCATTCAGTCAAGTCATTAAAAACACTGATTCATTCAAAAAACTAAACACTTGTCTTTATAAAAGAGTCACTGAATCATTTTCTCTACAGTTTCATTAAAAAAAATTATTCGGCTCTGTGTGCATTTGCAGTTGCACGACAGATGTTTTGAGTTTTACTTCATCTGCAATTATTTTCGTTGTCGGGGCAAATATGGACAAAGTAATTTCCTGGAAGTAACTGGAAATGCATCTAAAAGTGTAAGTTACATAATATCAACACTTTTTTATTGAATTGATTTTTTTTTAAACGATATCACGCTCTTTGCTCTTGTGAAATTGCATAAATCTCACTTAAAATCATGCTTGCAGCATCACATGGCTCAAAATGTTGTCTAAAAATACACATGCGATTTGTGAACAGTTGAAATAAATGCACATGTCATGGTATGTACACCTGTCGCTTGTCAGACGCCTTGTTTTCATCTGCTTACATGCAGCAGACCTTTCATAGTTGAGATATAACATTTGTTATTGCACTGTTCTCATCATACAGCAGCCAACGGTTTATTTATTGCTGTGTACGAAACTAAATAGCTGGGCAAATAGACTTTAGTGGGATGCTATTTTCTTTTTGCTTGCGACATCAATGTAGCCCGAGTGATGGTTGTTTTATTGTTGTTGTTTTTTTTCCATGGCACTCTTCAGTTCTGTGTTATGACTTTTTACCATCCAAATAATTAATCAGCTCCGACACAACAGGAAAAGAAACAGCTTTTAATTACTTATGATGAAATAACAAATTATGTTGGCCTTGTTCCCAAAAATACTGGAGCCAGTGCATGGTAATTCATTACAGGGAGAGAGAGAGACAGTGTGGGAGGGAGACTGTGAGATATGAGCTCTGTTCGGATTAAATCAATACACATGCTTTGTGCATGTGTGTGTCGGCGTGTGTCTGTGTTATTGCATGAGATCCTTTGCGATCCATCAATATCTGTTCAAAAGGTTGAGTGTCAGGCCGCAATGGACGCACTGATGCAACTAGATATCAACATACGCTAATGCGTTAGACACCTGTAGTATATACTTGTAAATGAGCTAAATTTATCATCCTCCACCCTTGATTTTAATTACTTTTATCAATCCCGCTTCAAACACAGTTAAAAAAAAGTTTTTGTGAAATTTGAAGTACAGGAAAGAGAAAAACCTAGCCTACACAGGCAGCTGTCTTCTAAGGTGGCATCATAACTGTGATTAAACCTCATAAATAAATGATTTAGGATGCTCTGCTTCATCCAAAATCACATACTCACTGAGTACATACTCCTTTGGAATAATTACTTCACCACCATTAAAAGAGTATGTTCTGTAGTATGAATTTAATCTGGACATACTACATTCATCATGTTGCCATTGCCATGTGACCTACCAGCCTCAGTTGTCTCTCCTCACTGCCATTCACAAATCTTCTCCTGTGGCCTCATGGGATGGCCTAAGCCTATAATAAATACAACGCAATGCAAATATACTGGGTAAAAATAGTTGGTTTAATTTTCAGTATTGCATGAAATATGTGTTTGTTTATTATTGATATCTTCTCACTTTGCTATCATGGATTTTTTTCCCCCATTGAGTTTGTTACATTGCATTCTGGGGTTGTCTTATCTGCAAAGTATATATATATATGCAATGTCATCTTAGTATTCGGTTCAAATGAGGTGTCTTATAGTATTGCTTATACTGTACCATTTGAAACAACCTTCACCTTAAAATGCTGCCTCCGTAGGCAGCTCAGTAGGTTTTGGAAAGGAGCATTTGTGTTTATACACGTTGGGTTCGGTGGATGGACACAAATACGCTCAGGGTTTTGTTGACATGCAGAGACCTCTGTTTTTCATTGCCACCCTGTGAGCCTGTTTTCAGGCAAGCGAAGCGAAATTCTTCAGAAATGAATTCTCTCTGAGTCGGTAGTGAACTGGATTTCCCAAAAGACTTCCTGCATCTCCGGGTTTCAGTTCTACTCTTGACCACAGAGGGGAACACTCGGAATGAAATTAGACACTTCCCCGCAGAGAACTACAGCCTCTCTCAGATAGACAGGCACAGAGAGAATGGACTTTGGGTGGAAGGAAAAAAGAAGGCTAGATGACCTTTTAAAAAAAATGTATTCAAAAATGAAATAAAAATTTTCTTTCATGATTTATTCACTCATCTTTTCTCAGACCTTACTTAAAGAAAACTCTGAGCACTCTTTTCATTTGCATGCAATTACAATAAATGGTGATTAATTCTTTGAAGCTTCGAACATGATGGAAAAGCACAATAGAAGTATCATAAAAGTGATGCATATACCTTTTTCTGCAGGTCTTCTGAAATCATACAACATAGTTTCTGTGAAGAAAGAGGCCAGAATTTAAGTATGTATTCATTAAAATGCTTAAAATGTAGAGATTTTTCAGATCTTTTCAAATGAATCATTTGATTTGGTTCTCACAAATTGGTTCTCGAGTTCAACTCAGTGATTGAATTAAATAAATAACAACATAAATTTGTTTCATGATAGCAAAGTGAGAAGATATCAATAATAAACAAACACAAGCTTCATAAGACTTCACCACCTTTAAGGTGCTTTACATCTGTTTTTAAAGCTTCAAAGACTCATTCCTTATTTATTGTAACTGAAGAAGTGCAGCCAGCACATTTTTCAGAGTATATTCTTTTGAGTTCCACTGAAGAAACAAAATCATATGGCTGTGAGACAGAATTTTTGGGTGGACTGTCACTTTAAGAAAAAGAGAAAGGGTGATGAGAAAAGAGTCGAACAGAGGTAACGGGAAAAATGTGGATGATTTGTGAGCGAGTTGATAAAGAAAGAATGATACGCAAGAAGGACAGAAAGGCATTCAATTCCAGCGTGGCAGAGTGCTGCTTTCAATAAACACATTAGCTCTATATTTTAGATTAATGCTAACAATTAAATGATACATAGGAACAACACTTTTATCAAGTCCCGTGGATATGGACGGGGCACTATGCATATTTAATCTGAATAGCCTGCAATAGAGGCCATTACGGCCGTGCAATTACGGTAATGCTCTAACAGGGTCTTTTGTCCCGAGTGCTGCATTCACTCTCTGGGGCCCCGTGTTTGTTGGGTTGTATATTTTTCTGTGTCCAAAGAAAACTTGCAGCATTATCATCTTTCCCCGTTTCTTTTTTCTTAGTTTTCTTCCCTCACACTCCTCTGGGTGAAGGGATTTCTTACTCAACGCAATGTTTCTCTAAATAAGAATGTGATTTGAAGCCACCTGCTATCACGTACACACAGCCAAACCTGCCTTAGTTCAGTCGATTTTAAATTAACAGTGACACCAGGCCCATTTTCTCGCCAGGTCAGACCAACAGAATGATTATCCTTCTTATCCAACTATCAGACTTAACTGTTTCCAGTCAGAAAGGGTTAACGGGACATGAAGGGGTTTGTGGTTAATTTATGCCTTGTGCGCTTGCAGCTTCCATGTTTACTTATCCGAAGTATACTTTTTGCTTTATTTATCCGTAACTACAGTATGTGTGGAAACACACAAGCTGGTGTGTGTGCTCCAAATGTTACGGCAGATCCACTTCAGCACCAGTGTAGCATGAAGCACGGTTGCCGTACATGCAGAGAATTTGGAGGTTCTGGTGGGGTTCAGAGCTTATCTGGACCCTGCAGGTCTTCTGACTGTTCCTCAATCCCCTCACAAATTATCATAACAAGGGCATATGAAACAAAAAAAATAAAACTATTTAAGTCCAAACACAAACATATCGACAAAAAACAAAGAATTTCAGAGCAATCTGTAATGTAAATTGGGAGCTCACCTTCTTTGTTATGGTAGACGGGGCTTCTGAGGAAATTTAAAATACCTCTTTTTGAGGAATTAAATGTTTTTGTTTGCATGTAATTGTGTGGCTTTCGTTCTCAGGCTCAAAACTTCTTGCTGTCTCTCTCTCCCGCAGGCATCAGACACCTCTGTGGTTGCAGTGAGACCCCACCTGCTCAGCAACAGCTGTACATGGAGAACCCCAGTTGGGCAGGTTAGTGTGTTTGTGGAGGTCATGGACTAAGTGTTTGTCTAATTGTGTTGTTTGGATGTGGTTTTCTTCATTGGAACAGATTTGGACAAATTTAGCATGACTTCAACTTGCTAACCTAAGGATCCTCTGCAGTGAATGGGTGCCATCAGAATGAATCCAAACAGCTGATAAAAACATATACACTCACACTTTATTTTAAGGTCCAATTCTTGCTATTAACAAATCATTCACTTTTGACTTTTGCTTCAATAAAATCCTAATCTCCTGCTTATTAATAGTTAATAAGATAATTGTTAAGTTTAGGATTAGGGATGTAGAATATGGTCATGCAGGATATGTGCTTTATAGTGCTAATAAACAGCTAATATGTTAATAATATGCATGCTAATAAGCAACTAGTTAATAGTGAAAATTGGTCCTTATACTAAATTATTACCACATATACAATAATCCATAATAAGTAATCCACACAACTCCAGTTCATCATTTAATGCCTTGTAAAGCAAACACCTGCATGTTTGTAATAAACAAATCCATCAAGACGTCATTTATTTTAAGGCTAAAATACGAGTACCCTATCCACAGTATTGCTTTCTCCAGTAAAAATATGCATTGATCAAACACTGTTTACAAGAAAAAACAGTCCAAAATAGTTGTTGGTGAATATGTTGGTGGATTTTGATTTAGGGGACAACAGGGGATGGACTTTTTCATTGGAGGAAACATTATTAAGGATTTTGAATAAAAATGACGGTTTAATGTTAAAACATCTTAATGATGGATTGTCATTTTGGATGCCCTGAGTGTAAAATTTTCAGCAAATTTTCATTTTTGGCTGAACTATTTCTTTCAGTCAATTTTGTTGGTGTATTATTTTCATTCATTCATTCATTCATTCAATCATTCTTGTTTTCTTTTTATTTTCATTTCCTCTCGCCTAGGGCACCAAATGACGGACTGCCATTGTTAACCCCTCAAAATATAGCTGCATGATCTTCCTGGTTTTGAGTTAGATGTTCTTTCAAGAGTGAATTGTGCTGTAAGCAAAGGTTGGATTGAAATTGAGTCTGGCTCTTCAATTCATGGGATGGATTTCGTATTTTTGCATAATTTACATTTACAGGCTTTTCTCTCTCTCCTATATCATCCTTATCCGCTGTATGTCTCGATGTCATTGTTGTTTTCCGTCTGTCTGGGGTGTTTCCTCTGTGGATCAGTTACATTACTAGAAACCTGGTAGATTCATTAATACACATAGAAGTTTCATACATGTCTGCAGACATGCACAATTTTCCGTCACATTCAAACTAATGTATGTATAATAATAAAGCTCTTATTTTTATTCATCCATGAAAAATGAATGAGGATAGATAGATAGATAGATAGATAGATAGATAGATAGATAGATAGATAGATAGATAGATAGATAGATAGATAGATAGATAGATAGATATCTTGTGCCCTTAAACAGAATTTGAGTTAATTTGAAGTGCACTTTACTAATCTTACTTTTTCTTCTAGTAAGGCAAAGCTGCCTTATAAGACCAAAATGACTAATGCAGTCCCATCGGTCTGGTGTGTGTGTGTGTCCCTTCACAGCTGTGGTTCTCAATTGCAGAAATAAAACCATGCTAAATGCAAAAAAATAAAATGCAAGTAACCATATCATTTTGCATTGTTAGGATAGCAAAATGAAACTGCTTATTGTTGATATCAAACTCTACAGTGGCATCTGTCACTGCTGAAGCTCGCCAAATTAGACAGAAGCCAACACGGACAGGTTGCATGACATATCGCTATCCTTAAAAGCGGACAATATTAGATAAGAGAAATAACTATAAATTGCTTGTTTTAAATTTTGGTGCTGTGTTGGGTCGCCACTTGATGTCCAAATTAAAATTTGGCTCCTGAACTAAACTAGTTGATGAGCTGATGCTGTAGAGCTGTAAATGAGTGTGTGTCTTTAAAAGTGGAGTGAAGAGGAGAGAGCCAGAGCAAGGGAGTGAGAGAGGAGTGGTTTAAGTAGTGCTGACGACAGGCCTTTGATTCTGAGCATGCCCATTAGAGGGAGCCATAAATCCTGGGCTCTCTGGACTGCCTGTGTCAGCAGTCCATGGAATGAATTGATATTAAACGCGACAAAAAGCCTCTTTAATTCTGCCTCCACCAGCTTCTCTCTCTCTCTCTCTCTCTCTCGCTTCTTCTCTTCCTCTCTTCTGCTCTCTCTCTCTCTATCTCTCTCTCTCTTTCCCTCCATACCTTCTCTCTGCCTCCCCCTGTTCTGGACGGTAATTGAAAAGAGGGAGGAGAAAAAAAAGCCCAGTGAAGCCAAGCCTGTCATCATAAAAACATCTGCAATTACATCCGCTCTATTCATTATTTATGAAAGTCATTAATTAAATATTACTCACAAACAGCAATAGCATTTTTCCCCTTTTTTTGCCCTCATGTTGTCTTCGAAATGGGCACGTTTTCTGCCAAACATCACAATGCCGTCCGCAGTAAACATTTATGTTTAGACATTAAGAACGATTATGTACGACCAAGGCCTGTGGTGGACTCATAGTGGCCTTTAGTTCCTGAGAGAGGCGGAAATGAGCTTCTACCGCCTCTGCGTTGTCACCGCACACCTCAGTGCTGAAATAATGGAGATAACTTGATTCACTTTCAAGCAAATGGGATATTTTAAAATGGCCCCCTTTCTCATTTTTATTGGCCTGTCTAAAAATGTCCCATAATGAGAAGAGGAAGTGCTGTCACAGGATGACATCACCCCCACACATGATGTGCTAAAACTGTAAGCGGTGGGATTTCAGGTGCCAAATTGATAAGTTAGACCTGTTATTCCCAAAATTGTAAAGATGAGGAACGATACATCAAACGAGGAGCTCCATGGCGTGACGCTCTTTTAAAACGAGCTGGATGACATTCTAAGTGGGGAGCCGGGACACTCTGAGAGCGCAGACCAGTGCCAGGTACAGCTGTTGTAACTCTTTCACTTAGCGGGGCCCCTACGTGGAGGCTCTCAGCCGGTACGAGGGCCCGCACTCACGACACGTACGCACGTGATGGATTGAGTCGGGGAAAGCCATCATCTGGTCGTGCACGCGCGTGCTGAGCGAGGTGGGCCCCGCGTGATTAATGATATTTGCCTGGAGTCATCGAAAGCTGGATTTAAGTATTTCAGATTTAAAGTAACATTCGTCTCTATTGTTCACAGCGAGAGAGGCATTAGTCAAATTCAGCCACGTCTCGGCAGACGACGACGCTCCAACCCCTGGAGCACGCTGTGTAACAGTGCGGTTGTCTCACTCTCGCTTCGACAAATTATTCATGCAATTTTCGCCCGTTTTGTCTGATTATCTACAAATCTCTCTCACGACTGAGTTTATCATCCTGCCAAAATCATTTATTTCTCAGTAGTATTTCCGCTGAGTAAATGTTTGATGAATTGCTGTCATTATGCCTGTTTTTAAAGTGCAAATATATTCTGCCAAATATAGGACTTTGTTTATCACACTAATTTTGCAAAAATGCAACATACATTTTTTTTGCTTTTTTTTCCCATGTTAAATCAGACCTCAAAACATGGCAATATCTGCTTTATCAGATTAAATAATTGTCAGTGAACCTTTAAAAAATAATATTTGTTTTTTTTAAGCAAATAACAAATAATTTTCAGTAAACAACCATTTTTTATAGGCAAATGTAAGGGGCCTTACTTCAGTGCATTCTTTTTTCCCCATATTTCGAGTTCTGCGTTCCCAAGGTGAAGGGTCATTGATGCCATTAAAAGAATGGACAGCGAGAGCGAAAAATCCCTTTTGACAACTGAGTAATGAGATGAAATGATAGACCTGGCTCGGGTCTGGCACTGGTATTTTATAACTGTAAACGTCCTGAACTCAGCATTAAACTGACCATCTGATCCAAAACTAACAAAGATCCTCAAGGTCAAAGATTCACTCCTCCCTCTAAAATAGTGTTCCTTAAAGTGCTTAGCAAAGCATAATTTGTGCACTGTGTTTCCTTCGGCTCAAATAAATCACTCAGCGTAGATGGTCAAATACAAACTTCAGATTTCGACTGACACGAATGGACTTACCTTTTTTTCGAGCACTGAGCCAGATATCAGCCCTTTCTGGTCAGATGCTTTTAAAAAGTGAAGGGGTGAAAGAGCAAAGATTGCACCTGACCGCCTTGCCGCTCTGTACATCTGCAGCTTCTACGGATCTGTCAATGGAAATCCAATTTCTGGGAAAGCGTTCAATCCTAACTCGGTTACCTTGGTGGATAGTGACATCCACTGTATCCACTGCTGCCTGTTTGAGCTGTTTGTTTTAGGCCTAAATCATGGCGGATGGGGTGTGTGCGTGTGTGCGAGTGTGCCGTGAGGAAAATATACATTTGGAATTACTCACAGTCAAAGCAAAGCCTTACTGGAGACTTCAAAGAACAGAATATTATAATTCATGCTGTAAAATATTGAGAACCAGGAGAAATATGCAAAAGAGTGCTTACTCAGTATCTGCCCTTTTTATACACCACTTATATATTACAGTATGCTGTCTTGCAGTGGTACTGCGCAACAAGTTTTAAAGAGACAGCTCACCGAAAATGTAAAGTTTTGCGATCGTTTACTTGTCCCCGTGTTGTTCTAAACCTGTGACTTTCTTTCTTCAGTCAAACACAAAAGGAGATGTTTTGAAGAATGTTCAAAATGCTTTCTTACAAATAATGAAATATGATGGTGACCATAGCTGTCAATGTGCAAAAACATGATAAAAGCATCATAATGTTATATTCCAAGTCATCTGAATCATATGATGGCTTTGTGTGAGGAATAGGTTCACCATTAATATCAGAAATTATTAAGAGGCAATATTTTAAGGGGCATTTTATACCTTTTATAAGGGCCTTTTTTTCTTGCCTACTAAAAGAATAAATATGTTAAAATTTGTATTAATCGAATTTAATAATAAAAAAAAAATATTAATATT